AAAGTCGTGTTAGTTACACTATTTATAACTCAAGAACGACTGAATCGATTTGGATGAAAATTGGCTGGGTGGTAGCTTAGAACCAGGAGACGGACATAGGATACTTTTTATCTATTTTTTTTACATTTACCGAAAATCGCGAACGGGAACGGGGGGGAATGGGATTACGCGTACGAAGTCGCGGGCAGAAGCTAGTATGATATATATGTTAGATTTAATAACAGGTAATAATATAACAGACTGTTATTTGAACTAACTCTGTGATTTGAACTGCATTTGTGATTTAAACTGTTTACCCGCGATAATAACTGTTATAATAGTATCTGTGTGGTACCTGTTACTTATTATACCTGTGACGATAAATTTGCCTCACGCCTAGTTACGTCTAATGCAGTGTGAGTTAAAGAAGGCATTACTTCGTCGTCATTAGGTAAGTCTGAACTGAGCTTAATGCTTGTTAAGGCCGTATTAAGTGTTATGCCATTTTTGCTTGTCATGTTTGGAATCAAAATGTGTTTTAGTGAAAGACATAAGATGAGAAGTACTTTACGTTTTATACTTATTTGTGTTATTTTTTCAATGAACTAGATATTGAGTGACAAATCAAAACGAAAAACTTAGAGACCATTTTGCTAGTTTTCTGTGATTAAAATATCGTATACTTCACAATCACACAAACACATCAGCAAGACATAATTTCTACATCTAAATGCGTAGATATTATACGGAGTGTTTAGATGTAAATTGGACAGTAAAATACAAATGACTTCAAGCAGTTAAATTAAACACCGAGAAGTAACAAGCGATTATGGTAAATACGAAAGCAAAACAGCTAAGAGACTATTCCAGTGAAAATTCCATTAAAATTGAACGTTCATACATATTTATCCTCATTTGAATCGAAACCTTCCATTCAAGGATTATCACAAACAATTTACAGATAGGATCTTTCTTCGGTACCACATCCGTCGCAGACATGAAGCTTGACAGCCTAAATAATGGACCCAATTCATTAACCGATCTCTCACTGGAAGACACGGTGAAATTTTAGACCTCTTATTGTTGGGACGCCGGTGCTATTGTCGACGCCCCCGAGCCAAGTTCACATGTAACCAAGCCCTTTGTACTTCAGATCTGTCCTTGACGGCGGCCTGTTAAGATAAATGGAGCTTTCACAATTATATTCAATCCAAATGATGAGGTCTATGTATACGCCAGTCGTGATACTGACGTGATGAAAATGTTTAATGTATTTTCCAAACTTGAAGTATCGATTCTAATAAACTTTCTGTTATCGAGATCTTTCCAACTATCATTTTACTCGTAAATACTTTGACTCGAGCGACAATCGATCCCTGAACTCCGATATTGAAATACAAACGAAAGACACAAACTTTGTCGAGACGAATCATTTCGATTTTATAGACTTACAATAAGCGAAATTTGCGTGCTCGCCCACATTCAACTATTGTTATAGATTTCAAACTTTGTCCCCAAGTCAATACGAATGCAATCAGTGAGTATATTAACTTATTTTTTTTACTTTTACTTTAAGAAATTTTACATTATTCGAAAACATAAAGTGAATCTATAACTCTTGCTAGGGAGCTTCAAGAATTTATTATCTCCTATTAGTGTTCACAATGGCATTATAGTCTGAGTTCGACGAAACTTGCAGTTCCAAGTATAAGGTAGGTTTACGTGACTCAGTTCGTGAAAGTAACACTGAACCAAGCATCGTGAGACGTATCAAACGCAACTTAAACAGGAATATAAATAAGCTAATTATTTCGAAACCCTTTCAAAAAGTATCACGGAATATAATAATCGTTTAGTCACCTCGTTGAATAGTTATTAGTTAACAAGAATCGGACGTTGAAAAATGTGGGCGAAATAAAAAAGAATGGTCGACAAGAAAAGTCTTGGCTAGATTTCGGAGGTCTAATAGCGGGTCTAATAATGTGCTACAGTTTTATGGCGGAAGCAATAAAAAATAACAAGCCCAGAATGTGCGATGAAAGTGTAATAGTGTAACCTCTCGCAGCAGGTGTCAGGAATCGGTATTAGTTGTTGAATAATAAACATTATTCACACCAGCTTACGATTCCTAATTGATGATCGGGCGAGACCGGTATGAGTCTCGATCGCTTATCCCATTTAAAATCAATGGTGCGATAATATCCTCATGCATATTCGTCTACGTAATCGTAATCCAAATGAACGATTACCGCCTCGTGCGCAGCGTGTGGGCGCGGATTAACCTTCGCTCGAAATTTAGTCGGCTTGCCCTACAAAATTAAAAAGAACTTTATCTACGTACCGCCGGCGTAATTATAATGCCGTAAGTCAGGTGACGGGGCTTTTTACAACGAATTAGACGGCTATACAAATACTTATTATAGATATGTATCAGGTTTCGCCGCGGTTTTATTAAGAACATGTGCCCAATATAATCTGTAAACATTAATATTAAATTGGGAATTAATTTATATTTTCATCTTTGCAGCTAATTTACTATGATTATGCATATAAATTAAGATGCTTATATGGCTTAAAAGCAGTAATAAAATTGAAGTATACCTTAGTGATAATATGTGGGCATTAAAGATGATAATAGTAAACATCTTGAATAACGATTATGCACATAAATAATGTAAAAGAAACAGAAATATGAGTCATATTTATCTTCAGCTAAACACATAAGGCAAGAAAATTACAAAAATTTAGGCTAGACACATTATTTGTACTAAGCTCCCACTCATGTCACTATAAATAACAAAATAAACTTCAACTTTCAAAGTGAGTTAGGTACAAAAATGTACATTCATATTCAAGGGCAAAATACGCATTATAATATGAACATTTTTAACACTGAAAGAACTACGAAAGCGGGATTCTCATAACTATTCGAAAATTCGTATTTAATGTACAGTTAAATCAATGTACACTTTTCACTTTCCTACGATTTTATTATCGTATATGTAGGTATATAAATGAATACATGGCGACACATCAAACTCAGCAATACAAGTATAAACTAACCCTCGACTATGTGGAAAGATCATGATATGATATATGATGATATAATAAATTAGGACCATGAAAAAATAGTAATTATATAACTCAATGTATAGCTTATACATTGTACTGTTTAATTCCACCCGGACGGTCTAAGTTTAGGCCGCCTCCACAGGTCGTCTAGTAAATTCATTACTTAATTTAAAATGCTAATGGCTTGTCGTCTGGACGGCGAACAGATGAATAATGTAATGGTACAACCGATTCCGATCTGGAATTCCACTATGATTGAAGTCCTCGTATTTATAAACTATGAATGTATATTTTATATATACATACCTGAACTGCTTGTTTTACGCAGATTTTGTTGCGTAGGCCAGACTTATAAAGGTTACCTACCACTATTAATTCCATGAAAATGGATGAGATGTATATGTCGTAGGATAATTTGATACTTCGAATCTTCGCGGAAATCCTAGGGGTTTTGCGAAAACGTGGATAATTAGACATAGGCGAAAAATTATCAAATCTTACTGGACAAAGTCAGGATGTTTGCGAAAATACTCGTTACTATAGTAAGATTTGATGTGCTGAACATTGATTGGCTACGATTTTCCTTTCTCACCTATTCTAAGCCTTCATAACTCTATGATACAATACTTGAAGTTAATCATCGGCAAACTAGGAACCAATTAGAAGTCAGCAAGCAAAATTGTAGCCAATCAGTGTTGAGCACATCAAATCTTACTATAGTAACGAGTATTTCCGCAAAAATCCTGACTTTGTCCAGTAAGATTTGATATTTTTTCGCCTATGTCTAATTATCCGCGTTTTCGCAAAACCCCTAGGATTTCCGCGAAGATTCGAAGTATCAAATTATCCTACGACATATATAATAATGTACTGGCCAACATTTACAATTCATTTGAAAGACGAAACAGCTAGGTATATAAATGCTAGAAAGATACGTAGGAAAGTAGAAGGATAAGTAAGTATTCTATCTACAAAGGCTTCGTTTATCCGTAATAGGTTACTTCACAGAATTTCTGGCGCTCAAGCACTTCGCAGACACTCGAAATGCGATTAGGTACTATTAAACCCGAGATAATGTTTACTTTTATCTCACCAAACTTATACACGATTAATAATTTAGTAATTTAATAACGTGTTCATATACCTAATTATAATATCTAATGAATAACATTAAAACTATATTTATAATGATTATTATTTCTCTCAGGCCTTTAATTTCCGAGCAATTAAAATTCGAACGTCCATCATCTTTTTTCGAATCGTTTAAGAATTCCATATTTAAAGCTTAATATTCTCGACAGCCAGTCACATCGATCGTTAACGAGTTTGAAATAAAAATACGTCTAGTTTAATATGTGGAAAACAAACATTTACTTAGTAATTAATTGTACATTCAATAAATTATAAGCGGTTTTGTATTATTTATGCCACAACACGTAGACGTAATTATACGCCGATGTGACAGTGGGTTATCAAACACAGAACATAAATAAACGGTAAATAGGTACGAAAACAATGATTTATTTGCGCCCCACGTACGTATAATTGTATGTGGGGGACATTCTATAAAGCGTTATAATGATGTACTGATTAATAAGGTGGTTTGTTAGCGATGACAGTTATGAGACGCCATGATGGTTTAGTGGTAATAAAAGAATCGAAATTTAAAAATTTAAAAATAGAAACTAGAAATCCCGATGACTTTCGTATTAACCAACGTTTTGATAGAAGATTTGTAAAATAACCAGCAATCAGTGTCAGATATCGACACCCAGCCAGTAAAGAGTTTTTAAAATATATATGTACTTATGTATAGACAAAAGATTATGTCAACAATGTCAAAGTGACGTATCTGTTTGTTTATTAAGAAAAATGTGACGTTTATTGTATGTCAATAATCCCGCATCATGTGGGTGTGGGCTATTATCGGGCAATTGACCAGGCGGACCTCGTGACGGTCAAGCTCTCACGGACTCACTAATCAGTTGACATATGCCTTCCTCGTCATATTGACATTACGACATTTTTATATCACTTTTATTGTTGGTCTTTGCGTCCATTATGGCTGACGTTGTTTCTTTTTTCTTTTTCAGAATCGGACTCACAAAGTGCTGCTTAACCATGTCATAAGGTGTGTATTGTAAGTGACTTTATATTTACTTAAGAGATTCGTAATGACTTGTAATATTACGTCAAAGATTTACTCACAGTAAACATTTGCTTTCATTGGCGGAACATTATGATGAAAAGGCAAATTTTCCCTAAAAGGCGAATCCCTTTCAAAACACTGGAATGAAAGCGGCGCAGTTCACATAAACTCACGGTTGAATATCATCCTGTTTACGAAATTAAAAGTTTGGAAATTTCGGCAGGCCCGACACTGGTATGTCGCGAAAGCATCGCCGTCGGTGAACTAAACTTGACAAAAATCCATAAAAGTTATAATGGTCCTTACGGGTAATTTGTGACAAAGTTGTCCAGGTATTTTATTAAAAACTGAACGATGAACGAAGAGGATTTTGGAAAACATAAAACTTTCAACTTCATAAATATTATTACGTGGAAGTCAAACATAATGGAGACCATAAAAATAAGCTGAGGACCGCCACTTGATATTGATGCGAAGTTAGTGTTGAACTTTGATTTATTCGCAAACTCTCTGAATTATGTTACTCTTGTCCTTATTAAATCACTTCATTGTAGAATACTGCTGCCGATTCAAGGAATTTATGAGCTTCCCGCGATCCAATAGAGATACTCCCACAATTTCATGATAGATTCAAATGTTCTATGTATGAACTTATATTTTATTCAATAAACACACAACGTGTAGCCGAAACATTCCTCTACAGAGCGTATACCGTCGATAGAACAATGATCAACAATTTAGAAATTGTAAAACAACTTTATGTATTTTAAACGCTACAAAATTAGTACAATGTAACACGTCTATAAATTACAATTAGGTGTAACTAGTACAATGGAATACCACAAAACAATTACATGGAAATGAAATACATTATTGTTTTTGTTTATAAACACTTATGAAATTGCCTATCAAACTGTTATTGCCTATTATAATATAGTGGAGACCACATCAACCGCAAAATAGTCGATTAAAATTATAGGTGATTACTAAATGCCTATGAATTATTATATTGAAACAGTAGTATGAAGAACTAATGAACATTACGGAACAATTTTTCATGTGAATTAAAATTTTCAATTATTTTGTATTCAAAATAATGTTTTATGGTTATTACATTTGCTTCTAAAGACATGTAAGTAGGTAGCTAGTAACGTATGTGCCTACATTAAGGATATTGAGTATATTTTATATAAATTGAACGAACAACCAATGTACTACAAGCGACATTATAACGAGAAGTGTTTAATTTTTCACTATGAAGTAGAGATACTCGGTTAAACCAGACAAAGGTCCATGGAGTCAATTGTCGCATCTATGTGCTTCAATAACAGTTATTGTGCGGTGGCCGGCCGGCGTATTTACCGTGGACGGAGCACGGCCGGCTCACCCCCGGCGCGGCGCCCGGCGCCCGGCCGTATGTCAACCGCTCCACTGCAGATTATGCTCTAATCCCCTTTCTCTCAACTAAGCCGCTTTCATTGCTTTGTACTGAGAATGTTGCCGAAGCCCGTCAAGTGGCCCGAATCTGTTTAGACCCTGTGATGTATATTGTACGCGCCAGTTCACAGCTTTATTGACTGATACTTATACGCTTCGCTAAATTATTATCATCTCAGCTTTTAGTGCCTTTACCCTTAGGCATTCCATTTTCCAGTTTATTTATTGTTCAGTAGGTAATTTATGGACAGGATAAAATATTATATTCCTTTACTGGAGCCGAAGATAATAATATATCTACAAGTGGCAAGTCCCGTTAATTGATTCAATGGCCGTATATTGATATTGTAGACGGACAAGCACGCCGTTGTAATATTGTAAGTGGATTAATAATTAATAGGTTATTTGTACTTTCTTACGAGACGAGTCTTGTAAATGATTATCTTTTGAATAAAATTGACGTGCTTAAGTGAAGCATGAAATAAAAACTGTTATAAAAAATTCCCTTTCGTAGAAAATTCTGTAGAAATTTCTTGATCGTTCTTTCGATACCTCTTTATCAATAAAGATTCGTAAGATAGCCGATAAAGTGGGTCTATTATTGGAGCTACAGTTTCAGTATTTGACTTTAGAATAACAAGTAACCAGTCGAATTGAATTACTTCTACTCGGAACTCAAACTGTAGTATTTTGCCAGAGTTCTGTCGACCATGGAACTTGGGATTGTTTTCCTAGTTACTGCGCGGGTTTGAATACGATGTTCGATCTGTTATTGTTTCAATTCAATGATTATTTTAGTGGTTTCAACAAAGACGAAGACCAGCTATCTCTGTGGTTTACAATGATTTGATTGGTTAAATAAATTAAGTCGATTGTTCATACCCAGTCCAAGTAACACAACATTGTGCGGCCATTTTACTTCGAAATGAGTTCTACTAGTATATATTTAGAACTCATTTTGCGATTATTGTGTCTATACGGGACATTAAAACAATACTATTTAAAACTACGTATGTACATCACAAAGATTAGTGAAAATCCTCAAATTACAAACTAAGACAATACATATTTTAGCCAGACTTATTTGACTCGGAAACTTTGTAATTCAGGCCTAAAGAGACTGCAAAGTACAACCTACTTAAAACAAGCGACGTAGCAAAGATAAATAAACGAAATAAAACGCTGCGGTACACGGAAAAGATATTTCGCGACATCACGTAACGTAAAATAACCTGCGCGCAACAAAATGTCAAGTCGTAATCGATGGAGACCTAATGTGGGTTTAATGTGGCCGGGACTGGGGACGCGTGTCCCAGCATCGGCCGTTGAGATTACGCCATAATCCGCTTTCTTTGTGCCTAAGTCACTCCGGCCTTCCCAGACTAAGCTCAGGACGCCATTTGGCGAATCAATTGCGACTTATAGTGCTTTGAGCGCATTCCAGATGTCACTTTATTAAATTCTTTGTTGGTGTCGTTTGCAAGTTGGTTTGTTATTGGAACGTGTCAATTGGAGTTGCTATCGAATATTGTTGTGTATTTTTGTTTCTTAAGGCTTGACTGGCAATAAAAATCTGTTGAAGGCAAATTTTCCTAGCTAACGTTGGTCACCGGTGACCCCATGGCGTTCAATGTGTTAATTTTTATTATTTTACTCCGGATAATCTTTAAAAAGAATACCACATCGCTTGTAATTACTTAACTTATGAATGCGATTGAAACCTAAATTGATGGTCATACACTAAATTGTTAAAGACACAAAAATGCCACACCTACGTATAAACAAAATACAAGTGACAACTTAAGTACAATTTATTAAATCCTTAAATCAAAAAGTAACCTAAATTAATTCTACCAAAACAAAATATATCATCAGTAAGCTGAATGAAAGTGTCAGGAGCTTTAAAATGTTTTTCAATGAATAAGTCCATACATTTTCTTGAGGAAACATTCCCTTTTATGATAATTACTTAACCTCTGACCTTCACTTATTCTGTAGGCTGTACGCTGAACAGAAAACTTTACATTATTACAACGGCAAAAGCTAATTCATCTAAAAGAAATGTATTTCACGTTTTAATAAGCATAAATCATTTGGTATAGAATGTCTGCCCTCATTTTAATCTCTAGGGATTTTGCTGTTGTATTTTTTACAATTTAGAATAGTTTTTAGTTGTTTATAGATTTGGCTGTTTTTGTTTTTATGGGAGAAGCCGGTAAACGAGCCAACGGATCACCTAATGGCTCTGGGTATCTACCGGGAACACCAGAAGCGTTACAAGTGAGTTACTGACCTTTTGAGGATTAGGAATTTGAGGATTGTTGGGATTCAGGGATTGCGGAATGCACACGACGAAACAGGATGCAAGCGTTGTTTCACGTCGGTTTTCTGTGACACCATGGTATCACTCCGGTCGAGCCGGCCCATTCTTGCTGAATGGCTCTCGCACATGTGTCAAATTAAATACCTGCCATTCACATAGGCTCAATCTCTCGTCTCGGCCTTAAGAGATATGTGCTTTCCATATATCCTAGAATGTACTACACTTATACCTTTCTCATCAATAATATTAATCTTTAACATCAAAACCCGTGGCAATCCACTGCAGAATTTTAGGCCTCCTCTACATGAGGTTATATGTCTCGCATGGCCGTCAGAGTAGAATAAAATAATATTATTCGTTTATATTCGTTTATAACCTACTGTAACACTTCTCTGCATCACCCTATGGTAGGCTATGGTTGGCCTATGGTTGGCTGGTAGAGAATGCCATCCGGCCATTAAGCCCGCCATTGTATACACATTTGTACATAAAGTGTTAAAATAAAAATCAATAAAATAAATATACCACTTTAATCTTTATTAGAAATTTAATAAAGCTCTACTTGTTAGGACACTTTTTCCCCGCTTTGGGTGAGGCAATATGAGTCTCAGACCGTTACTGACTAAAAACCACACCGTTCCTACTGACACTAAACATGTAAGTACTACAACTCAATTTTCATCTATACCTCGTTTACCATAATTACAACCAACAAAGTAAATTATCTCAACAATAATGCATAGCAACATTTATGCAGTGACCTCATTGTGACGTCACGACAAGCACGGACATGACAGTTGCGGCTCTCTCATAATCCGTATAACTGACAAACTGGAATCCTCGATCGCAATCCGCACTGATCCATTGTCAAGCTGCACCGCAACATTGCTATAGTATTAGTGAAATAATTCTAAACTAGTAATCACTTTGTGGTCGATTCAAATTAATTCATTAATTAATTTCATGACTGTGTTTTGTTCTGGCACGTTTTTGGTACCTTTCTGTAAAGCTACTGATCTGTAATTAAATTATAATAGTCCTTGACAGATTTAAATATATTTGCTAGATATTTCCGAAAATAGACCCTTTTTCTTGTCTGTGTAATTTAAAAACTTGAGTAGATGAGCACTTACTTTCATAGGCTTTAGAAAAAGAGCAATATTTTTATTTTAATAAAAATCAAGAAAGCAAGATTTCTAAAACCTGTCTACGAAGTCTCATAAATGTTCCA